TTTGTTGATTCACTGAATACGGACTGCCTCATGTATTCAGGCATTGCTCAAGGGCTGCTGGGAAGAGGGCAGATGGGTTTCTGCTGTTGTGAAATTTATAATCTAGTGGGAGGCAAGAGAGACAATAAACTAATAGTAAATTTGGCCTGGTTTACAGTCTACATTCTACACTCAAGTCTTTCCAATGAGCTGTCTTCAGAAGCACCTGTACATAATTAACAATCGGAGCAGGCTGTGTCCAACACCCCTGCTCATGCCGGTGGGCATCTAGGGCAGCCAACATCAGCCTCACTGATACGACTTCAACTTATCAGGCACCCTGAGTGCCTGCACTGTGAGAAGAACAATGGTGGGGAAGAGCAGGAGGGAGAAGTAAACAATGAGTAAGCCAGAGCCTCACCTTGAAAGTGGCCCCTGAGTCATTCTGCAGCCAGTGCCTTTTGGGGCCAAGCATGCCCAGAAAGACTCAGGGATAAGAACTCAGCTGTAAGATCCCAAGTCTGTTTCTTTTTCTCTGGGGGAGCAGGATTTGGGGCTCTTTCCCCGCTATTGTGCAGAGCAGTGTAATGAGAATAGTTTTGTGGTTCGTAAGGACTTTTGAGGCCAGGCTGGGGAACTTGGGAAAACAAGGCTACGGCCTTTTCCTGTTTCCGTGACCTTCAGCCAGCCGTCACTGAGCCTGGTTTTGCTGGGAACCGGGAAGGTGTCCAAGTTCAGTTCACATGTTATAAGTGGGCGTGGGTTCTAAACTAAACCGGGAGCCAGTGCTGCCCACCCAGACCTCCTGCCCTGGCCACTGTGCAATGACCTAGATCAGCGATTCTCAAACTGTCTCAGGTCAAGGACCAGTTGTGTTATGATTTAAAGTTTCAATTTCCAATCTGTCATAAAAATGAAATATTAGAAAAATGAAATAAAAAAGACATACAAAATATAAACTTAGACTTCTATTATTAGTTTTAAGAGACATAAAATTACTCTATCCAAATGCTCTAAAAGTTTTTAAAGGCTAATTCAGTTCCTGAACTGGAGTTTGCCGGTAGCAGAGAATTCAGGGCCATCACTACCGACCCCGGGCTGCACTTTGGGCAGCACTGTACTACAGGCCCAGGCCCACGGGCCATTTGGGGACTGTTCTGAAGGACAATGAGGAAGCTCCCGTATGGCCTTGATGTGCCTCATGCCTGCACATCTCTCTCTGGCACCCCTGCCCAGCCTCCTATGATTTTAACTGCTGCCTGAGTAGACTGATAAAAGGAACAGCTCGGCCGACTCTCCTATCACAGTCCCCATGTGCAGGTGAAAATTTTACTGCACACTTACAGCCAGAGAAATGAAAGGTCACAGCTAATTGTAATCATTATCCAGCCTCCCCTACCTGAACGTGGCTTTGAGCATATACTGGTCTGATTAGCGAAGCAGCCAAGTTCAAGGCAGGCTGTTGTCTCCAGCTGGCCTGGCCTGGCCTGGCCGGCCTGGGCAGGGCGGGAGGTCACTGTTGACACTGTGTTGCAGTTCTCCAAGGAGAGTTACATCATGGACAGAAGCCCCGAGAAGCTGAAGAAGGAGCTGGAGGAGGAGTTGCTGCTGAGCAGCGAGGACCTACGCAGCCACGCCTGGTACCACGGCCGCATCCCTCGACAGGTACCTGCCTCCTCCCCGCCAGCAATACCCGGCTGTTCTCAGACAGCCCCCAGATCCATGACCCTGCTGGGGCACACACACCGGCCCCACGTTAGCCAAAAACAAACACTGTAAAGCGGCCAGCAGTGACTTAGCTTAGGCCTGTGTCTCTCAGGACACCTTGGGAAGAGCTAAGGTTAGAAAACCAAGTACGTCTCCACATGCCCAGGAAGTGGATGAAGGAAAAGCAGGTGTTCCTGTGGCCTGTAAACACAGAGTGGGCAGGAGACAGCAGCCGCAGGGTGGTACCAAAGAAGTACAAGGCCGGGCTATGGTTCAGATGACTGAACTCTTGGCCGGCTGCCTACAGCCTCATGCCCTTTGGAGCGTGCTTCCTTTCTAAGGCAGTGGCTTAATTTCAGGGGGAAAGAAGGGTATTGTCAGGGCCAGTGACACAGAGCTTACAAGGCCTCCTGGGCCCTAGTGGGGCCAGCCATTCTTCACTCTCCATCCCTTCCCTACCTGGCCCCCTGGTCCAGAGACGGGAAAGAAGAAATATTACACCAGTGACCACAGACTCGTGGCGTAGAATGTACTTTGTGTGATTGTTGTTTGGGTGATAGGCATGGATAACATTACTTAGTTTAATAGTATAGAAATTGAAAAATAAAATAAGTACAGAATTGAGGTGCAGAATTTCCTTGGGTTTTTGTTGTAACTTGATCTGGCCAGTCATTCACCCAGGACAACATGACAGGAAAGGGGGGTGGGGGGATGGGCGGGAGTGAAGTTAGAGGGTAGGGCATCATGTTGTGAATTATTTTTTAAATATAGCAAATTTCTCAGCACTATCAAAGAAATAATCCTTATTGTAACTTGTCCTCTTTTTTTAGTTTAAAATTGACTGTAGAATATACAGGGAGCAAAAAAACAAAGCAAAAACAAAACAAAACATTAAACTCTCACCCATAATTCTCCCTCCTAGAGATAACCCCTGTGAACATTTTGATATAAATCCTCCCAGACTTTTCTAAGTCAAGTATGAGGTCATACTGCACATGCTTTTTGGTAGCCCACTCTCTCCACTTAATGATATAGCCTGGGAATTTTCTCCAGCTGTAAAATATTCTTCATACCATTCTACATTGTATGTCTGTCCATTGTACACATGCACCATTATTTATTGGCCATTCTGACCAACATCCTTTAAGATAACTACTACGTTCAGAACTATAATTATTTCCTCAGGTTCAATTCCAAGAAGTGGAATTTCTGTGTGAAAAAGTATTTTTAAGGCAAAGATGCAATTTTAAAGTAACCATGGTAGCATACTGTTCTAAGCTAACTGATCAAATATTGGAATGGCCTGGAAAAAAAGCAGTGACTATCACCACCATCCTTCTCCTTATGCTGATCATAAAATTTGTTTTCCACTTGCCATGAGTGTAAATTTTCAGCTATAGATCATTCCAGATTGTTACTAAACACAGGAACAATAATAATGATAGTTATAGCTAACACTTTACTCCTTTAAATCTTTATAGCACTCTATAGATAACATTATCTCTGTTTTTCAGATCATGTAACTGAGCCACAGAGAGGTTATGTAACTTGTCCAAAGTCACACAGCAGAGCCAGAATGCGAGCCCAAGCAGTCTGGCTACAGGAATGGCCATGCTATACCACAGTATAAATTCTCCTTCTGTTATAAACATCAGCATCCTCATAGTTAAAGATTTTTGAGCAACTACTGTGTTATAGGCACTGTGCTTTGCATATATTACTTACGCAAATAAATAATCCTTCCAGAACTTTGTGAGATGAGGGACCTGGCCCAACTACATTCCAGGCCCTCCAGGGAGGAATCAGTATGCTCAGAACAGCTGGACACCAATTTTCTTATTTACTTTCGCTTTACATCCCTCAGGTATACATAAATGTCATCTTCTTATGACACCCTCCGGACCAACCTACTTAAAAAGACAGTTCTCATCCCCTCCCAAGTACTTCTTTTTCTCCCTTCCCTGTTTACTTTTTCCTTAACTTTACAACATCTGACATACCATACCTGTTGCTTCTTTATCCTCACTTAAGTAGCTCTCCACTCAAAATCAAAGCTCCATGACAGTGGGGACTCTAGTCCGCTTCATTCACTGCTATACTGTTGTCAGTGCCTACAACAGTATTTGGCACATAGTAGGTGGTCAGCAAGTAGTTGTTCAGTGAATGAATTGGTCTTCTAAGAATTTGACATTTGAAAAAATCAAGAGCCAACTGAGGAAGAAGAGACAAAATGGCATTGTCTTCTGCTGGCCCAAGGAAGTAGGGGAGAAACACAGCGTTTGAAAGGAATACATGCTTGCCTTTCCCACTTCTTACTCACCATTTTGTTCCCAAGGTGTCAGAAAACCTCGTGCAGCGAGATGGCGACTTCCTGGTTCGAGATTCTTTGTCGAGCCCTGGAAACTTTGTCCTGACCTGTCAGTGGAAGAACCTCGCTCAGCACTTTAAGATCCACCGGACAGTCCGGCGGCTCAGTGAGGCATACAGCCGCGTGCAGTACCAATTTGAGATGGAGAGCTTCGACTCCATCCCTGGCCTGGTGCGCTACTACGTGGGCAACCGCCGGCCCATCTCCCAGCAGAGTGGAGCCATCATCTTCCAGCCCATCAACAGGACAGTGCCCCTGCGGTGTCTGGAGGAGCATTACGGCACCTCCCCAGGCCGGGCCCGGCAGGGCAGCCTTGCTGAGGGAAGGCCAGATGTGGCCAAGAGGCTGAGCCTCACCATGGGCTGCGTCCAAGCCCGAGAGCCAACCTTGCCAAGAGGAAACCTCCTCAGGTGGGTCAGGGCCTCCTCAGGTGGTGTTGAGACCACGAGGGGCACTCTTGACTTGACCAGGCTTAGTTAGGCAGATGAGGAGCTCACCTGGAACAGAGGAACAATAAAAGATGTTAATAAGATGCCAAGTGTTACCGGAATAGCTGTCACGAGGCAGTGCATGTTCTCACTCGAGTTGATGCCAAAAATAAATGACGCAGTTGCTGAGGAAGGTGGGGTTAGCCAGGAGAGATTGTATGAAGGAGGTAGGATTCCAGCTAGTCTGAAGGCTAGGGGAAATTTGGATAGATGCTGCAAAGGGGAGGGTGTTCCAGGCGGGACTCAGCATGAGCATAAGGGTAGAGATAGAAAAGGACAAGAGTTGCTTGGAGTGAGTAAATGATGGGGCTGGAGCAAAGGGCTCACATTAGGGGCTGGGAAGGGTAGGCTTAGAAGTGACCCCAGCCAGATTGTGGAAGCCTTAATGCCAGGCTGAGGGTTTGAGGGAGCCTCAAAGACTCAACATAGTAAATGGGGAGTCCTAAGAATAGAACTGGGCAGTGATGTGCAGAGAGGGCGAGGAGAGAGAGGAGCTAGAAGACTGGATTCATGAGCCGTGGGGGGGGGGGGTGTCAGACTATGTGGGTGGGGTAGAGGGAGTCGGGAGGGTCAGGAACCAGGCTTCCCAGGGCTCTTCCCAGGTGGACCAGGGCAGCCGGACACCACCGGAGGGACCAGAGCAGGTGGACTTTGGAGGAAAAACCAGTTGCTCTCTCTGAGATATGATTGTGTGCTTGCTGAGTGCCAGTGTTCAGCAACAGTGTTGGGGTTCAGGAGGGGACTTAGGTCTAAGGCTTAGATCAGGGCTTGGTCCACATGGAAAGGGTGGTTGACTCAGTGAGAAGAGTTGAGATTCCAAAGACAGGAGATGTCAAGAGCCTGGGGCTAGTCTGAACCTCGGGGACTATGCAAGGGAAGAGTTCGGAGAATTCGGTGCTGAGGCAAGATACCCTACCGTCGACTATCAGTGATGTGCCTGTATTTATATAGGACCTGTCTCTCTTGGAGCTAGGAGTCCTCATGCATATTGTATGTTTTATCTAAACTGTTCCCGGAAAGGAAAGCAGGAAAGAGGCAGGCGTGGTAGGCGAAGACCAGCCCCCATTCTCTCAGTGACACAGCTCCCTTCTCTCGCCCCCTGGTAGCTAGGCTTACACACTTAAGCCAACATGTTATATTTTACTTACTGGTTGTCTTTCTGGACCAGGAGAAAATGTCATAAACTGTAATTTCTAGACTATAAAAACGCAGAAGCAAAATACAGGATTTTGAGTCATACAAATGACAGCTACTAGGAAGCTCCTGTAGGTATTAGTCAGCATCTGGCTATGGACCCGCCTGCCTGGGCACAAACGCTAGTCTACCACTCACCTGGGCAAGCTACATGCCTGCTCTGCGCCTCCCTTTCTTTATCTGGAAATGCAAGCTTGTGAGTGTTCAATGATTTATAATATGCAAAGTGCTTAGAACAGTGCCAACACATAGTAAGTGCTAGGTAAGTGTTAATAATCATAATAATTGTTTTCTGGAGGGCAGTAGAATGTAAGACTTAGGGCAGTTGCAGGGAGGGAGAAAAAACTTTTATCTAAGGTATTTAGATACTCTTTACATAGTAATAAGATGGGACTTGAGATCCCTTAAAATATTAAAGGAGTACCCTCTTCTTCTCTTTCTTTGGGGAGTTGGGTTTGGCTGCTCAACTGATAAATAAGGAGTTAATGTCGTGAACAGAGCCTGGGTTAATTTGTCCACAGAGAAGCCTTGCCATGGTGCTGGAAGGAAGACCTCCTGGTCTGCCCTCAGAGGCCCGGATTTAAAATATAATTATTTTTTTAAGATAAGAAAGGAAAGAAAAACTGAGAAAGTCCCTAAGTTAACAAGACAGGCCTAACAGAGCCACTCTTCTGACTGCCCCCTTGAAAGCAGAGCTCCCTAGGCTTTGTCACCCCTGGGCACAGGCAGCAGGCCCAGAAATGCATGGGGGTGGGGTGGGCTCAACCCGATAAATGGCCTGATGCCCTGCCCCCACCCCTTCAGTGGCTCCTGCACCTTCGCTGACGTCTGGCCTGCTGGTTGGCTGGCGGGGAACCGCCTGGGCAAAGGTGTGAGCTCTCAGCCAGGTTGCATTCCAGGTCTATGTTCTGGCCAGTGGAGTCCCACTGCTCCTGGTGATCGCTGCTTAAATATCGCTTTGCAGAAGCCATTGCCTTTTGGAATATTCCCTCTGCCCACCTTATCTCCCTGGGGGGTTGCTGGAATTTCTCTGTTGTTGGGAGTTTGGGTTTGTTTTTTTGTGTGTGTGGGATTTTTTTGTGTGTGTGGTTGTTTTTTTTTTTCCTTTGGTGCTTGCAAAGGTAGGAAAGAACTTTGCGATTTCTGTAACATAAGCTTGTGGGAGGGCCGATTAAAGTTCATTACAACTTGGCTGGCACAGTGCTTTCTCTTTTAGCAGGAGAGAGATTCTGTTCCTTGGTGCTAATTAGAGAAATTCCCAGCCTGAATTGGCAAGGGACAGAGCAATGCTAACTACTTGTGTTAAAAGTTACGTTCCACCTTTTCCCTGTGTAGCTATTGCTCTGTGCCTCCCAGCTGCCTCTCTGCGGGGCCACAGGTGGCCACGCGCCTTCCTTTCCCAATTCAGCAGGAGTGAGGCTGGCTGTGGGGTCCCTCATGCACGCAGGAGGGTGGGGAGGACAGCCTCCCCAGGCAATCGTGTGGATTATTTCGGGGACCCGAGATTTGCACTGAAATGGAAACTGCCCCACAGCTTCCTCCCTGACTGTGACAGTGTTTTGTCATTCGCGGTGGAATCACACATTCTGTCATGGTGGAACCGCATGTTAGTTAAACAAGTCATGTCTCCTGGGTCTGTAAGTAATTTGGGGCTCTGTTAAAAGTACACATTCCAGTTCATCAGATTTCCCTGAGAGGACTATGAAACCTTTCCCCTGCTCTGCTCAACGGTATGGAAAGGCTCAGAGGAGGCGTCCTAGGACCTAACTGGATTGGCCACGGGGACATGAGGATAGAGCCCACGGCACAGTATTAATCGCCCCCATCAGTAATTTTGTCCTTTAGCGGACATTCCTGGACTGTTAGGGTATGCTGTAGCACTCTCATGCTGAGCAACCTTTTTTTAAGAGAAACTTTCCATGACGCTGCCTAAAGGTTTTATGATTTAATGACATGTTTCTGCCCCACTTGTCTTTTGCTTCAGAAATAAAGAGAAAAGCGGCAGCCAGCCTGCCTGCCTGGATCACATGCAGGACAGAAGAGCCTTGTCCCTGAAAGCCCACCACCAGTCGGAGAGCTACCTGCCGATCGGTAGGTCCCTGGGCGTGTGGGGGGAGGAGGGCGACGGTGCGATCCTGATTTCCTTCAGGCTGGTTTTCCTGCTCCGTCCGCTCACATAACTGGGGAACGACGTAAGAGTCCATGCGTGCACGTTTGTAGGACTGTATCCAGATGGGAATCGCTGAGCTGGGCACTTTATGGATGCTAGTTTTTAAGCCTCATAGAGCGAGCTTTCAAGGTGGGCGTGATTCTTCTTTTTGAGGTTGAGGAAACTGAGGCACAGAGGTTAAGTAACTTGTCCAGAGTTGTCTATCAGGTCAGCGGCTCAGCCACCATTTGAACTCAGATTTTCTGATTCCAAGCCCATTCGCTAACTGGCTGGTGATCTTCATAACAAATGAGCCTATCCCCTGTAGTCCGCTCCCAGGGCAGAGGGCAAGCGAGTCCATCCTGGTGCTCCTGCTAGAGCAGCTATCCCCAGAGCCCTCCTCCTCTCCACTCTCCTTTCACAGCCAGGAGAGCGAGAAGGTGTGGGATTGTTTTTCATTATTTTTATAACTGACCTTCCTAGGGACCACAAGGTGATTTTCTTTCTTTCTTTTTTTTTTTAAGGGGTATTTGTCACAAGGTGATTTTCCTAGTGCCCCTTAAACTACTTCTATGTGGGTTATCTCGACATCCTGCTCTCCCTTCCCAGTGTGTCTCTAGCTCTCCCTTAAAGCTGGCTGGGATCCACCCTGGCTTGTAGAGTGACTCAGGGTCCTTTATGCTATGTGACTAAAGATTTCTGTTTCTTAGATTACTCACTGCCCTCCAGACTTAATGTATTTACCTGTTCTGACTGTCCTAACCTTCGGTGACCATACAATGACATTGCAGCCCAGCTGTTAGCAGTCACTGGGATTTAAATTCTCCCAGAACTGTGGGGTGGGGCCAACTTAGCCTTCAGAATGGTCTAGTGTAGACTGCTCTAGACTGAGCATGAGGTGGTCATACCAAGTTATCTTTTTTTTTTTTTTTTAAGATTTTTATTGGAGAATTGGGGGGATGGGAACAGTGCTGGGGAATTGGGGGAAGGGGAACAGACAAGTTGCTGTCATTTTGTTCTTCAGTCTAGTTGTGGAGGACGTTGCTTCACTGGCCCAAGTTGGCACCATCATTGCGCTCTTCCCGGGCAAGGCAGATCAGTTGCCGGCTTCTGGACGGCTGCTTACTGCGGCTGCTGGCCGCTCACACTGGCTGCTGGCTACACACGGTAGCCCATGGCAACCCACTGCCACAGGGGCTGCAGCCTACACCGTTGCCAGTGACTCACGGCAGCCCAGCTCCAGGTTGAGCTGTTGTTCAGCATCTTAGCTGTAGAGGGCAGTGTCACTGGCCCTCATATGTGGGATCCGAACCGGGGCCCTCTGGCGTCCCAAGCCAGCTCTTAACCATCGCACCACTTGGCCGGCCCCCAAGTTATCTTTTGAGGGTGAAAATCGAAACCCAAGAGCCTGAGTTGAGGGTTGGGGTACAATGACCCTAGTTTTGTTTGTTTTGTGTTCTCCACACAGCTTTTTCTGATTCTCTCTTATCCTCCATAGGCGGTAAGCTGCCACCTCAACCCCCAGGTGTGGATACAGGCCCCTGCCCAAACTCACCTGTTTTCAGGACGGGCAGTGAGCCCACCCTGAGCCCAGCAGTGGTTCGGAGGGTCTCCTCGGACACTAGGGCAGGGGAGGCGCTGAGGGGCTCTGACAGCCAGCTGTGCCCCAAGCCACCCCCCAAGCCCTGCAAGGCGCCCCTCCTCAAGGCTCCCCCATCTCCATCCACCTGGCCCAACTCGGAAGCCAATTACTGTGAACTGAACCCAGCCTTTGCTACAGGCTGTGAGAAGGGAGCAAAACCATCCATCTGTGCGCAGGACAGCTACGTGGAGCTGCTGAAAGCCAAGAGGAACGGGACGCCGGGTCCCCGGAACTCTGGCACCAACTACTTAATTCTTGATGAAGATGACAGGGCAAAGCCTTGGGAGCCGCTGGCAGGAGCGCAGATGGACGAGGGGCAGGAGGACGAGGGTGAGTTTGTGATGCCCCTCCTGGAGACTGCCTCCTCCTTCAGGCCCAACGACTTTGAGTCAAAGCTTCTTCCTCCTGAGAACAAGCCCCTGGAGACAGCAATGCTGAAGCGGGCAAAAGAACTGTTCACCAGCAGTGACCCCAAGGTCATCGCCCAGCACATGCTGAGCATGGACTGCAAGGTAAGTGCCCATGGGGGCGTAGTTTCGTTCTGGCTTTCGAAAGTTTGGAAGGCTGGGGCAGGGTTGAGGGGGATCTGTTTGCACTTCACTCCACCTGACCCTGTAAGTGCTTTGCTCATAGGAAAGGTCTGTAGATAAACCCGGGTGTGGGTATTTATTTAATGGGTGGGAACCACAGGCCAGGGCAACCTTTTCCCAGGCAGGAAACGTAAAATTCACCTTGGACAGAGGAATGGCAGGCTGCCTCCAGGGCCATGCCCCCTTCCCCTCACCCTTGCTGGTGTCTGGAGCTTCTATAGAATTCTTCTCCCAGCTGGTGCTGATTTACAGATTCTCCCCTGGTCTCAACTCTGTCAGAAACTGATAAAGTCAAGTACAAAGGAAAGTAGATTATGGATGAAAATGTAGTTTCTGGAGGAGCAGAGCCTTGGTGATTTTTATATATATATATATATATATATATATATATATATATATATATATATATATATATTTATTTATTATTGAAATGGTCTTTAGGACAAATAAACATTTTTAAAATCATCTCGATTTCTTTTTTTTACAAGTAATACTGGCTCAATTTAGAAAAATTATAAAATATAATTATGATTTTAAAATTACAATTATAAAATCTAATTTAGAAAAATTAAAAAATACAGATTAAGAAGAAAAAAATTTAAAATCACACAAAATCCAGTTTCCTGGTGATCACCAGTGCTATTTACTCTGCAAATAGAGACATATAAATAATTACATACAGATCTGTTTGTTTACCACAAAAATGGCACCCTCTATACATACTATTCCAAACCCTGAGTTTTTCACCAAACGATATGACTGTCTTTCCATGTGACTAAATAAATATGTGTTTATATCATCATCATTTTTGATAGGAGACATTTCTTTTAGTTACGGGTGGCTTTTGTTTGTCGGTGGCCCCTAGGCAGCCTCATTCTTCAGAGAGATATTTCTAGAAAGCAGGTGTCTCAGGCTGGGGTGAGCTCAGCCCACTCCTTAGTATAAAGAGACAGATCCCTGCATTTGAGTGACAGGTAAGGCCTTTGTGAGATTTAAAGCCCTTTTTCATTTGTAGCTCATTGAAGTCAGTTAGCTTCAAAGGTCAGGGCTTATTTAGGAACTAGGTTTTCCTAAATAAATTTCCTGGGTCATGAATTATAGATTTCGAAATCTAGTCTCTGAGCACTCCCCAGGGAGTTCCCTAGTTGAGGGAGGGTTCCTATGGGGACAGGAGGCCTCTCAAACAGCCTTGAGGAACATTAGGCAGTTAGTTGCTGTTCTGGGGAGGAAAAAAAACCCTTTCTGAAAAACAGGACTGAGGGATCACTCAGTTGCCCTCATTACCAGGCCCGGGAGGTGGTCCGCATGTATATGCGTGTGTGTGTGTGTGTGTGTGTGTGTGTGTGTGTGTGTGTGTATGTGTATGTGTGTGTGTGGTGAGGGGGGGTTGCCCCACAAGCCCTGAGAAGAGAGCCAGGAAATGGGCTGCTGGAGAACAGGGCTGTTCCCCTGGTTGGCTGAGTGTCCTTGGGCAGCGCTCACGAAGGGTCAGATAATTTGCCATGCTAAATTCTTTCTTTAACGCAAGGTAAACCTGTTTGGGCAGTAAGAGGATTTAGGATTCCGGTTCTAGTAAGTAACTCTTACTGGGCCATGGATCTGCGAGCAGAACCACGCCAGCAGGCCAGGAGCCTGGCGTGAACCTGTCTGGGTTCTCCATAGAGAAATCTCCTTGTGGAAACATGTGTCTGGATTCACAGGACAGCTTAACTCCCAAGGGGAAATGAATCCTTCTTCCTTGTGGCCCCAGCCAGGGATTGGTGATAATGTCGGAGGTGAGGTGACTAAGCACTCTTTGCAGGAGGGTCTGGAACCCTCCCACCGCCTTGGCAGCCATGAAACTAGCACCTGAGTCTGTTCTCAACAGAAGGAACGTGCAGCCTGCACACTTTCCCATTGTTTCTCTCTGCGTTTTGTCTTCCTGGTGAGGCCCCACTCCCATGTCTGCCTTCAGGCTCCTCTGGAAGAGGGGCTAGATGGAGGCCTCAAGGCAAAGACTGGGGCTGGAACCTGCCAGCCCCCAAGGGCAGGGCTAGTTAGCCTTCCTTACTCCCCGCTGAGTTCACAGCCATTTCCTTATCCTCTTCCTGGAACCACTGACTTCAGGGCTTTGCCAACAAAGCAGGCACAACCAGTGACTCTGAGAGGGAAATAAAACAAGGGCTGCTGTTTGCTACCCCGTCTGAATGCAGCGGCAGCCCGACGGGGCCACCCCGAAGCTGAGAACAGGCACTGGGCAGCATCTGGGGCCCGAGTGCTGGTTCCCACCCCGTGCCCAGAGCCCAGGGCTGATGCCCAGAAAGGCCATCAGAGCAGTGGGTGGTCCTGAGCACCTCCAGACTGCCTGCCCAGCAGTGTCCAGCCCCAAGCCCTGGACTGGGGCTGGGGTAGGCATCCACTGAGACCTCCCACCCCGCATATGGGCGCTGTCCTGGCCTCACTTAAGTGGAGTACAACACTCTCCCACCCACTGTCTTCGTAGTGACTAGAAATGAGGGCCAGTAGTTAAGAGCTTGGTCTCTGCGGATGAACTGCCTGAGTTTAACCCCGCCTCTCCTTGCCTCTCTAGCCTTTCACTCTGATAAAGGAGGAGAAGAATCCAACTCCGCTCCGTGCCATGCCTGGCCCTAGTGAGGCTAAGTGTTTGTTAGTATTATGTATTTGGCCTTAATTGAGCACCTACTGTGGGCCAGCCCAGGTCATAGCGGGGGAGGCAGGGAGGGACAGTTGATACAGGAATTTAGACTACAACCCAAGTGGGGAAAGCTCTGTAGGGGAAGGCATAGGAGCTGTGGAGCCTTTGAAGCGTGGTCTTGAACATGGGGCAGCTAAGTGATCAAGGTGGGGATGTCTGAGATGAGTTTTGAAAGCTGAATAGGAGTTGGCCATTTGAAGAACACAAAAAGCATCTTCCAGGCAGCAGACAACACACATACAGAGACTCAGATGTCAAAAACCACGGAGGGGAGGGGTTGGCTTATGGAAGATTCACTCTGTGTGGGCTGTGAAGGTGGGGCCAGGGAGGGCCTGGCAGGTCTTCCATGTTTTTAAGTCTCGATTCTGGGCTCGTGCCAGGTTGCTGCCTTCAAAGCGCTTAGCAGTTCAGTGAGGGAAAGAGGCCTCTAAGGACATAGAGCAGATCAGAATCCTTTGCTGAGGGCAACAGAGACAGTGAGCAGAGCCAGGTGATCTCACTGCAGTTTAGACGGTCCTTTGGCAGCTGTAGGAGGGCTGGGCCAGGGCCCCGTCAGGGCTCCCCTGGGTCACTGCAGCAGCTCAGGAAACTGAGGGATGAGGAGCTGGCAGAGTTCAGAGATCCTGCAGAGCTAGGAGAGCTAAGATTAAAAGAGCAAAGGGAAGCTGGAATGCCTCATCATGGGGCACTGAGTCGGCCTGCCCTGCGGGTCCAGCTCATAATAAATGCTGTAGAAGCGTCCGTCTCTCCTCTGTATCTGTGAGCTGCACACCCCTGGATGTTCCCCAGGGGACCTAATCCAGGCCGTGCAGTGTGAGCTCAGGACCGCCTTGTCCCACAGCTCAGCCTTCGGGGACGCAGTGGCATTTCCTGGTAAAAGCCCAGGAAAGTGACCAGGGATTGAATATTTAAACCGAAGGAAAATGGACTGGAGGCTTCTCTCTCAGAGCAGGGATCCCTCTGGAGGCTAGTGCTTCCAGAACAAAACGAAATCCGTGACAAGCCTCTGAGTCTTGTTACACAGAATATGCGTGGATGAGACATATCCCACAGACGTGCTGGGTTTGGAGCCTGTGACAGGGCAGCTGTCTAAACAAGCAAAGCGTATGTGACCGCAGGTGGCTGGGGTGCGCACCTGGGCTGCCTTGCCATGGTCAAGGTATAAATCTCTTTCTAGATATCGGGCCAGAATTCTTCCCCCTGGACACAGTCAGTGATTCACAACTTGTATTTTCAAATCTCTTTTTGGAGCTTTAAGGTCATTTGATCCTTTGCAAAATCCTAGAGAAAGGTGAATTTAGCAGTTGGATTAGAGAAGAGGACACTGAGGCCCAGAGAGCACAGTATGAATTCTGCATCCTATTCTGAGATTCCCACAATTCTCGTTTCCCCAGGGCTGACAGCAGGTCTTTGTTCAACCACAGAAGTTAAGGGTCAGGGTTAATAATACGAGCTAAACTTCCAGATGTTTTTTGGGGGGCCTATTATGAAGACATCTGGACTACTCATGTGTCCAGGATAATTATAGTCGAGGACAACTCTATACATGGAAGAGAGGAATTGTCTGTCCCCGGCCGGCCTGCCTGCCGTGGGTCCAGGCTTGAGGAGACCCGTTGTATCTGAGGGTTGTATTAAGTGCATCCGTGTGCCGGGAGGCATCATTAGCCTCGTTAGAGACACACTGACTCCACTGTCACATCTCAAGGTAATGTGTAATCACTATAAACGGTCAACGAATACCCTGTCAACTCACATCCGATAAACTGTGATTACACACTAGAATTGAGATGGGAAGAGCCAGTTGGGACAAACAAAGATGTTCTTGAAGGAAAACCCCTGAGGAGAGAAGGGGGTGTGTTTGAGGCCTTGGGTTTCAAATCGCTATACACGTTTCTAATCGTTTCCAGACGTATGGTACATTTGCTGAGCCCCAGAGAGGCGTAATTAGCAATAATAGCAGCCAGCCCTGCCGTTAAGTGAGAACATGACGCAAAGCACGCATCAGAGCAGCGCTTGGATGCAATTCCACTTTTCCACTGCAGGGGGTCTAGTGGGCTCTGTGCACCCTGCAACCGTGCTGTCTACAGCAAAACGTCCCAGCAGAATCCAGCCTGTTAAGACAACAGTTCGAGGAACTGTGCCATTCCCTGGCTGGGCAGAAACACCAAATCTGCACATTCTGCAGACCAATTTAGCTGCTTTCCTCCCAGGCTTTCTATTCCAGCATATGTATTAAAATCCTCAAACTATCATATGAAAACTGTATTTTCGGATCTTGCTGCTCAAAAAGAGCTTCAACCGGTAAAGTTCATCCACACTGTCCCAGTTCAGTGTATTTCCTTTCACGTGCTAAATTCGTGTTCGCAGCAAGATCCAGTGTATTTTAACTTGTGTCCTTGACAGGTCGCTAGGATACTTGAAGTCTCTGATGAGATGAGGAAGAACATGGGCGTGAGCTCAGGGCTGGAACTCATTACCTTGCCGTATGGCCACCAGCTGCGCCTGGACATAATCGAAAGGTGAGCAGTGCTGTCCTCTGCATTTCCAGCCCTTTCAACTCCTCCCAGGCTATCAGACCAACAGGATTCAGAGCAGAGAGAGGCACAGCATCAGCTGCCCCAGAGCTGTCTCCCTCAAGTGTGTGTGGCCCCAGGCCAACTTTCCCCAGAAGCCTTAGCCAGAGAATTCCTGGAGATGCACGAAGAAACAGCACAGAGGAAGTCAGGGAACGAAGACTGATCCAGGATGGGGGTGGAGGAGAGAGCACATGATTGGCCTGTGCGAGCAGTAGTCACTAATCCTGCCAGCCTGGGGTGGGAGCGGGAGGGGTGCAGGCTGGTGGAGCACTCCGACATCTTGCCATCTTGCCACCGGAAGCCCCGCCTCATTGAGCTGCGGCTTCTTTGTCTCTTTTGGAGTTCAAGATTGCTTTAGGAATTAACTGGGAATTTGTAGGAAAGGTTGGGAAGAATCAAGTCTGAATGTTTTCTTTGAAAGGTGGACAAATGGGGGATCAGAGGTCAAAGGATAATGGCACTTGCCCTGGCTGTCCATTAAAACCCACACGCATGAATGTTAGATGTTTAGAAATTAGAAAGACAAGTAGCGAGGCACATTTTTAAGAAAAGAATGCTAGACTTGATTCTCTTATTACCATAGAAGTTGGCCTTTGTGACACACCCAAAAAAAGACAGTTGATTTGAGCAAGACTATCTTATTAAGTTTTCTTTTTTTCCAACCAATTTCCCAGTTGCCATGACACACATGTGGGTTTTAATGGACAGCGTGGGCCCTAGCTTTTCATGAGAAGAGGGCCGTGATGCTTCAGAGGCCAGGCATCCCGAGTGCTGTTATTTCCTGCCCATGGCTTTCCATGACGTTCTAGGTCATAGCACCATCCAGTACAACTTTCTGTGATGGCTAAAATTGTTCTTATTACGGTAGCCACTAGCCACATGTAGCTGTCGAGAGATGAAATGTTTTATTTTACTGTTTATTATTTTATTTTACATGTGGCCAGTGGACAGTGCAATCCTAGGTTGCCAGCCCCTACAAAGCAAGCATTGCCTTTCAAGTAGCCTGGGGGATCGACACTGCTGCTTTCAAGGTTATGTGGCTATAAAGTAGATAAAGCAGCTCCAATGTCACTGTTGCTTTGGCTTCACAGTCACAGACGCATCCCATATAAAATACCAGAATGCCTAATGGAATACTCCTGAGGGACAGGAGGTTAGGAATTGGTCTGTGCTGACTTTGTTCAGGTATCCTTGTTGTTGAATGCCTTTGGGCAATTATAGGTCCAACTTCAGAATTTGCCTACTTTTCCTGATCAGGCTTCTCTAGATTCTTGCCTCCCTCTCCAGGTGTCCTCTTCCCCTCCGAAGCCCCAGGGGCCTGGCTTCTCAGTTCCACCGACTTCCCCTCTGGTGTTGTCTGGGCCCAGTGGTCATCGTTTCAACAGAGATGAACTGTGCTACCTTCCTCATTTCTCATGTGATACATTTCAGCCTAAAAACTCCCCACGTTCCAGGTCTTATTTTATCAGTGTCATTGGGGTGTTGGACATGTGACCCAGTCTGAGGGTGTCTCTCTAGGCTGTTTTCTGACTTTCACTCATATTTACATCCATTTCTTCTTTCTCCTGACTGCTGCTTGCCTTGGGTCTCACTTTTTGTCTTGTTTCCTGTCCAGGACTGACCTGTGGGTCTACCCGCTAGCGCTTGGGGTGCAGTTCTCGTCATTACAATGCGTTTAAATAAAGGCCAAGGGTTTGGTGGTCCCGAGAAGCCAAAATGACACAATCTTCTTGTGTTTAAGAATCAAACACAAAACCACTCTTTACTTTTTAATGTAGCACCTCACTCATTCCAGGCCTACTGAGATGTCCTTCATGTAACATTTAGTGCCTCCTGCTGCCAACCACTGGAGCCTCTGCTACATGCGTGCCAGGCGGAGTTGTCTTTCCCACGGTGGTGCACACAGGAGGTTTTAGGCAAATGTTGGCTGAATGAACGGATAGGATTACCCAATTAACCACTGATACAATGCCAGGTCTTAAAGAACTAGAAAATGTGTTTTTAATTAAGGGCCATTAAATCATAGAGAAGAAAACACTGATTAAAAAATAGATTGAATGCAACATGGGAAGTTAAGTTTACTGTTAGCTAAAGAAACATCTAAAATGTTTGGCTCCACCTTAACCCTTAGCAAATGGGTAACCAAGCTCTTCAATAAACAGGTGATAAAAATAGACTTTAAGTCATGTTACGATCCATTAATTAAGAAAGAAAAAAAAAAGATCAGGAAAAGGAGATAAATAAAGAAAAAGGCAATGAGACAAACAGGCAAAATGGACCAAGATACAGAGGGAAAGATATACACATAGAGACAATTGTAGTAACAGCTACCATTTGCTAGGTGCCTGCCAGTGCCCAGCAGTTTAATTATTTTTATACCCACAGAGTTTCTATTTCTCACAACTACCCTTGTTCCCATTTTACAGATGAAGAAGTTGAGGCGAGCAATCAGCTAAACAACCTAAGGTCACACTGTGTGTAAGCAGTATACATGCATATATGTATAAAACACACGCAGATAGCAGAGCTCATTACTTATTTAACAAACATTAGAGTGTGGACAAAAAAGGGGCCACATACGAAACCTGACAAGCTCAGGGGAGGCCCGCATAAAGGGACTTACAAACCCAGAGATCAAAGTAACCGTGGCCTGAATGTAAAAATTCCTAACTAAAAGCGGGTCATGGTGGGTAGTTACGTACTAGGCCTGTAGCTTCCTTGACAAGGTCAGCCATTACCTTTGAAATTGTCTATTGTCTTTGTGCATCTAAGATAACATACCTCTGAAATGTCAGAGTTAATTTTCTTTTCTGGACCCCTCAAAGGCACAACCGCCGACACCGAGCACGAGAACACATTGTTATCTTGTTGCCCACGTACCCTCTCTCTGTGCTGTAAATGTTATCTGTCCTGTACCCACCAATGTATAAGAAGTATGTGTCTCTCCATTTTGCTTTTTATCCAATCTCAGAGATTTCCTCGCTTTGCTTTCTCCTGCCCCCTTAATCTACCACCAGTGGAGTTCATGTAACCCTCCTTACGTCTCTTCCTTTGATTCTAATGTATAAAAAAAGCTTCGAAACTGCCATTCTCTAGAGCATTTTCTCAATCCATTGAGATTTCGCTTCCCAGCAATTGTCATCAGTTGCCTCAGATAAACTCTTATAAGACTTTTTCTCAGGCTATACGTTCTTTTGCCAAAGAGAAACTAGTAATGCTAGGCACTAGATGAATCATGCCACCCTTTGCTTAAGAACACGAGAGAGATCAACATGTGGGCACAGAGAGACGCATAGCCATGGAGTAACACCCTTTGCTGTGAACTTCAGGACACGGTGTCCTCAGAATTTCAAAGACTGTATTTTAATAACCATAACTGTGAGTTGGGGCTTCACATCCAGCACTTCTACCGCAGCCTGGACGAACTGTAATTGAGGCATTCTGGCCCAGTGCCGTCACCTCCCCAGTCCTGATTTTCAGAGGGAAGGGAGGAAAGGGATCGCAGTCTGTGCTGCCTATCACCAGCGAAGGAGGCTGCTCTGTGCCCCCATTCATGTTAGTCCCATTGTCATGTAGAGGAAAGGTCACTCTGCTTCCTGTTCTGGGTCTATGAGGTTGACCCGGGTAGTTCAGGATGAGAAAAGGGAGCATTGTTGGCAGATACACGATTTCCGCTTTGTCCGAGTCTGACCTTACAGGGACACCGTGCCTGTGTGCTGTTTAGTCTGTCCACAGCTCCATTCACTTTCTGGCCTCTTGACAGGAGCTGCAGACACTCCATTCTTAGCTCTTCATGCCTTTCTTTTTTCTGACACCCTTGTTGTCTTCCTGAATGAAGCACTTTCTCTCATTTTTCTGTCCCTTCCATTCCCCAGTGCAGGGGGCTTGGGGGAGGTGGCCCAGGGCTCCCCTGAGGAAGGGACCTCTTATGGTGGAAGGTCCAAGCAGCCGTAGGCACTTCACCTGAGGTGGGCCCTCTTCATGCCCCCAGGTCCAGGGATGAGCAAGGCCCTGTCCTGGGCCGTCTGTCCTTTTGGACTCTGCATCGTGCACTCTCTGAGGCCTCGTCTGGGTCCTGTGCATTCAGCCTGGTAGGGGTGGTCTCTGTGGGAATTGGCAACCAAACTTTCTGAGCTACCAGCACATCTCAGGGCAAGAGCAGCAAATGGGGCAAAGCCAGTCCTTTTCCTGGCCATTTTGGTTTCATTTCCTCCTAGTCCTGTTGGCCCAGGGCCTAACCACTGCTCTCTTCCCTGTCAGACACGGCACGATGGCCATAGGCATTGCAGTGGACATTCTGGGCTGCACAGGCACTTTGGAGGACCGAGCAGCCACCCTCAATAAGATCATCCAGGTGGCAGTGGAACTGAAAGACGCCATGGGGGACCTCTATTCATTCTCGGCCATCATGAAAGCCCTGGAAATGCCGCAGGTAAATATCCACTTGCTTTGTGCGGCCCTGTGGGACGGTGTGCTGCACAGTGGTCTGCGGGCCCGTGCTTAGGAAATCACAGGCTTAGTCAGTCTCAAAAAGTAAACTGAATCTTAGAGAAAGCTACTTTAATTAGAGGGCAACCACGAGTAGAGTCCTAAGTATTTTGGCTGATTTTATTTTATTTTATTTTTTTAAAGATTTTTTATTGGGGGATTAGGGGGAAGGAACAGTTTTAGGGAATTGGGGGAGGGGAACAGTGTTGGGGAATTGGGGAAGGGGAACAGCAAAGTTGTTGTCCTTCAATCATAGTTGTGGAGGGCACATCAAGTCAGCTCCAAGTCCAGTCGCTCAGCTCAGCTCGAGGTGCTGTGTTCAGTTAGTTGCGGGTGGGTGCAGCCACCATCCCATGCGGGAGTCGAACCGGCAGCCTTGCTGTTAAGAGTGTGCACTCTATCCCCTGAGCTACCCAGGCAGCAGGTCAGCTCAAGGTACCGAGTTCAGTCTTTAGTTGCGGGTGGGCATAGCCCACCATTCAAACCAGCAGCCTTGTTGTTAGGAGCACGTGCTCTCACCAGCTGAGCCATCCTGCCACCTGTTGGCAGCTCAGTGGCAGCTCAGCTGGGGCACAGCGTCACTGGCCCATGTGGGAATCGAACCGGCTGCCTTGTTGCTCAGAGCTCTCACTCTTGAGCAAGCTCTTAACCAACTGAGCCACTCGGCCGGTGCCTTGGCTGATTTTAAAAACAGTGGAAAATTGCTGACAGCCCTCCCTTTCTCTTTAATGTACAATAAGAAGAGTCATCCTCAGGAACACTGTTCCCGAAGAACCATTTATGATGATATGTGTGTTGTATAAGAGACTGATTCCACCTGAGTCACCAAGCATGGATGGGGGCAGTGTGGGGTAGTGGCTGGGAAGCTGAGCCATTGGAGGAGCCTATATCTGAGAATCCCTAGAGTGGTTTATCTCAAAGAATGTTCCACAGGTCACCTAAAACAAGCTCTCCTATTAAAAAAGTCAGATTCCTGGACTATCTGCCATATAACCCCCTATTTAGAATTTCTGAAATCAGGCACATTGAATATATGTGTTGACAGGCTGTTTTTACGATGAGTGTCAAAACTGAAAACCTGTATTTGAAATCACATGGACCTCATAGAGCAGGGGTTGGCAAACTTTTGAGACAGAAGAGCCGCCAGGGTCAGCAAACTGTGGCTCGCAAGCCATATGCGGCTCTTTGGGTATGTACATGTGGCTCTGAAGTAAAATTGAAAATGAAAATAAAACTATCATAGTTTCATTTATAAAATCTTTAAAGGGTATTATTCACATAATGGTGATTATGTAAAAATATATTTATGGCTCTCGAATAATTTTTAAATTGTTGTGAGGGACAGGATTGGCTCTTCCAGGGGTCGGCAAACTTTTGAAACTGAACGTACCCAAAGAGCCGCGTGTGGCTCGCGAGCTGCAGTTTGCTGACCCCTGTCATAGAGAAAAGTGGTCCTGTTGTCTTGATTGCTCGGATTCAGCATTCCCATTTCTGTTCTGCCAAGCCCTAGTTGCTTGGAGGACTTTGATTTACAATGCTTGCAAGCCCAATCTGCAACCGGTAATGCCAAAACTGCTCATCACCTAGCGTGGCTGTTTCATAGCCACAGATTATCTCAGAAATCCTGCTGGGGGCTCCCTGAAAATCCAACGTTGCCACTAGGGAAGATAGCTACAGTCACATGTCCTGCAAGTCAGGACATGTTAGTGACATAATTTCCTTGCATTAAAACAAGGTCCCCTTAAAAACAAGAAGCTGAGCAACTTAAGTTCTTTCACCAGGAAAATTTGGGGGTTCAATTCCAATTATGATATAACATTCTAAGAGTTTTCAAAATTCTTCAAATGCACTGGAATTTAGTATGGTGGATATATGAAATAAGCAAATTCAGCCATGTTTTCATGATATACTGACTTGTATGTCAGGGGTTATAATTTTTCATTCAGGTGTTTTTAATTTGCATCAGATTTCTTATCCAAAACTACCTATAATTTTGAAGGTCAAGCCAATGAGCTAAGCTGTGTGTATAGCCCTCCAGTCCAGAGCTTCCTCTGAGAGTAGTCAAGGGGATGTTTTATATTATGTGGTTGCTGTGTCCATGACATCAAACTTGGCGGTTAGGGACTTATCCCAAAGCACGTTAACATGCCTTGTAGGCGGCTCCCTCCCCTCCAGCAGCATCAGACTCTTACCTTCTGGAGCACCTCAGCAATGAGGGGGCATAGTTCTCACTGGTATTCCGAGCCCTGGGGTGAGCCAGGACACTGCTTGGGGAGGGAAATGGCAGAGATAGGGAAAACCCCATAGGAGTCACGTCATTTTTGTGTGTCGCCATCCAAACCATCTCCTACGTGCTTTCTCTTCTCAGCTTCTCATATGAAGAGAGAGCATCCAGGAGATGGGCCTAGTCAGAGGCAAGGGCTTCTTTCAGAAAGGTGGATGCTTCAGGGAGAGGGAAGAGCAGAAGGGGAGTGTGAGAAGAGAGGGCAGCATGGTGGGCGGCCACAGGAAGACCTGCCCACACCCTTTCCTTACCAGCAAATCTGCTGCTGCTGATCCTCTCTCATCTTTCCCTTGGAGTACACAGGGAGCTTGGGCCAGCCGAGTGGCACATTGGTTAAGAGCTCTGAGCAGTAGGGCCCCAGTTTGGATCCCACATTAGGGCCAGTGATGCTGTGCCCTCTACAGCTAAGATGGTGAACAACAGCTCGACCTGGAGCTGGGCTGCCATGAGTCGCCGGCGATGGCGTAGGCTGCAGTGAGGCTGCAGTGGGCTGCCGTAAAGCTACCATGAGTGGCCGGCAGCCGGTGTGAGCTGCCAAGAGCCGCTGTGAGCAGCCATCCAGTGGCTGGCAACCAATCTGCCTCACCCAGGAAGAGCACAATGATAATACCAACATGGGTCAGTGAAGCAACGTCCTCCACAACTAGACTGAAGAACAAAAGGACAGCAACTTGTCTATTCCCCTTCCCTGATTCCCCAATGCTGTTCCCCTCCCCCAATTCCCCAATAAAATCTTAAAAAAAAAAATACACAGGGAGCTAGTTCTTAGAGGCCAATGAAATGAATCTCAGGTCTGCTGTTTACCAGCTGTGAAACCTTGAGCAAGTGACCTAATCTCGCCTGTTGTTTGATCTGTAAAATGAGGCCAACGTACCTGCCTCATAGGGCATTGTGAGGCTTAAATGAAATTCCTCAAATACCTGACTCAGAGTTGGCTCTCACTCCCTTCCTCCCTTCCTTGTTCCACGTAGGAAACTTTATAGACAGTTTGGCTTGCTGATTTGATGGTGTGAGTGGGGGACTATTTGTCTTAGGGCAGTAAGTAAGAGTCAGTGTTGGTGTTGACTGAATTATTCCAAAAGAAATGTAAAGGAATGAGGAGTGGCATCATATGGCCTAAGCAATCTTACGTGTGTCTCAGACATTACTACTTACGAGTAACATTGAAGTGCTGTACTTTGCATTCCTACTTCCTCTCATCAGTATAACCTCTATGGAGGCAGCTGGCAACTCCTCTCAAAATTTGAAATACACATACTCTTTGACTTAGTAGTTCCACTTCAGGAAATTCATCTTCCAAATATTTTCACAATGTGCACATTTGCAAAATCTTTACAAGGTAATTTTGTTACAGAAAAATATGTTTAGCATTCTAATCTGTAGGATACTGGTTAAACTATGGTTTATCCATAAACTGGAACATTATGCAGAAGTTTAACAAAATAAGACTGTTTTATGTGTTACTTATATGGAATGATTTCCATGCAAAGAACAGAAAAATATGTGTAGTATGACATGCACTTATTTTTAAGGTGTGTGTGTGTGTGTGTGTGTGTGTGTGTGTGTGTGTGTGTACGCGTGTACGCATACACACAAGAAATTGATGAGGAGTTATTCCTGGGATGGGCCACTGCAGCGTTGCAGAGTAAGGTGGGGGTGGGGGATTAATTTATCTGTACATTCCTTTCAACTGCTTTGACTTTACCATGTGCATCTATCATCTATTCCAAAACGTAAGCAAAAAGGTAATTTTAAAATGCCGTTTCCAAAATGATAACTTTCTTTCTTCCAGATTACAAGGTTAGAAAAAACATGGACTGCCCTGCGGCACCAGTATACCCAAACCGCCATCCTCTATGAGAAACAACTGAAGCCATTCAGCAAAATCCTGCACGAAGGCAGAGGTGAGTGCAGGGTCAGTGAAGTGGGCTGGAGGCTGCCATGCTAGTGTCTATAAGACAAATAGATTGTTCTGGTTTGATCAAAGCATATACCAGGGCATATTATGAGGGCTGAGTTATCTGCAGAATCGTTGACGGGTAAATGAAGGTTTTTATCAGATTACAGCATTCCTGTAAGGAGGTCTGAAGTTGCTAAAAAGACAGGCTACCAGTCACCTCATTCTGTGCTTAACCTTTCAAATATGCAACCGAGTAATATTAACTATAGTCACCATGCTGTATATTACATCCCATGACTTATCCATTTTATAACTGGGAACTTGTACCTTTTGATCCCCTCCACATATTTCCCCCCCTCCCCCCCCCCTCACCTCAGGCAACTACCAATCTGTTCTCCGTACGTATGAGCTCAGGAGTTTTTGTTTCTTTTTTTGGATTCCACATATAAGTGAGAGTATATGTTACTGTTTGACTTATTTCACTTAGCATAATGCCCTCAAGGTCCATCTATGTTGTCACAAATGGCAGGATATCATTCTTTCTTATGGTTGAATAACATCCCATTGTCTATATGTACCTTATCTGTTCATGTATTGATAGACATTTAGATTGTTTCTGTGTCTTGGCTAATGTAAATAATACTACAATTAACATGGGGGTACATACATCTTTACAAATAAATTTTTTCAAATTTTTTAGTTAACCAGAAGAGGGATTACTGGGACATATGGTAATTCTATTCTTTTTTTAAGGAATCTCCATACTGTTTTCCATAGCGGCTGCACCAACTTACATTCCCACTGATAGTGCACAAGTGTTCCTTTTTCTCCACATCCTTGCCAACACTTGTTATTTCTTATTTTTTTTTTATAATAGCCATTTAATAGGTGTGAGGTGGTGTGTCTTGTGGTTTTAACTGGCCTTTCCCTGATGATTAATGACTTTGAGCAACTTTTCATGTACCTGTTGGTCATCTGTATGTCTTCTTTGGAAAAATGTCTACTCACATCATTGTGTTTTGTTTTTGTTTTTTTGCTATTGAGTTGTATGAGTTCTTTATTTACTATGGATATTAACCCCTTATCAGATATATGATTAGCAATTATTTTCTCTCATTCACTAGGCTGACTTTTCATTTTGTTGATGGTTTCCTTTGCTGTGCAGAATCTTTTTAGTTATAGTGCCACTTGTTTATTTTTGTTTTTTTGTTGCCTGTGCTCTTGGTATCAGATAAAAAAAAATCATTGCCAATATCAGTGTTAAGGAGCTTACCGCCTGTTTTCTCCTACCCTCTTCTAGTTTTATGGTTTCAAGTATTGCATTCAAGTCTTTAATTCATTTTGAATGAATTTGCATACATTCATTCATTCATACATACATATCAGTGTATGACAGTGGTTGAGTTTAATTCTTTTGCATGTTGCTGTCCAGTTTTCGCAACACTGTTTATTAAAGACTGTTCCTTGCTTCATTGTATGAATATTGACTCGTGTCATAAATTAAATAATTGACCATAAATGTGTGTATATTTCTGGGCTCTTTCGGTTCCATTGATCCATGTGTCTGTTTTTATGCCAATACCATACTGTTTTCATTACTATAGCTTTGTAATAGAATTTGAAATCAGGGAGTACAATGCCTCCACTTTTGCTCTTCTTAAGATTGCTTTAGCTATTCAGGGTCTTTTATAGTTCCATACACATTTTAGGACTGTTGGTTTTTAAACGTAGATGTTTTGGAGGCTTGTCTCTCAGACACAGGTCTTAGAAGTTGGGGTGCCCATCGTGGGTTTCAAACCATTTGCTCCTCAGGGAGAAGCTCCGGGTTTTGAGTTCCCTCCAGACTGTGGGTCGCTGCACCAGGCTTGGGGTTTATGGTGAGGCTGTGTCCCAGCCTCTCCTACCCTCTTCAGTATGGGCCTTCTCTCACTGGCCCAATGCATAGGAGTTGCTCAGACAGCTTTTAGTCTTTTTCAGAGGAAGTAGTTCCATGTTTAACTGCAGATTCAGTGTGCCCATGGGAAGAGGTGAGCCTAGGATCCTCCTACATTGCCAATCTTGAGTCGGAACTCTCTGTGCTTAACTTTGAAAAAAAAAAAAAAAAGATCATATAGGAAACTTTACCCCTTGTTTTTCAGAGTCCACATGTGTCCCACCAAACAATATATCTGTCCCACTGCTGATGCCTCTTGTAACCTTAATGGAGCGCCAGTCTGTCACTTATGAAGGAACTGACATGTGGGAAAAAAATGAAGAAAGTTGTGAGATTGTGATGAACCACTTGGCAACAGCCCGACTCATGGCAAAGGCTGCAGACAGTTACCGGATGAATGCTGAGAGGATCCTGGAAGGTAAGAGCTGTTTTTCATTTGCTGGTGTCTATTCTGCATAGTAATAGGAATGAAAGACTAAAAGAGCATGGATGTTCTCAATTAGAAAAACACCAAGCAGGAAAGATGGAAGGCATGGGAATTTCATTTCCTATATGATTGCTCATTACTTCCTCTTACTTCCTAAATGTCTTAAGGATCCTGTCTCTCCCTTCTTTGTATGTCTTCTGTTGTGTCATTGGTGTAGAATAAACAGAGAGAAAGGTCAAGAATTGGTCAGCTTGTCTACCATTAGTACCTCTAATAATTTCTATTAGTGAACATGATGGGCTAATATGAGGAGCTGGAGTTCTGTTTGACTTCATTTATCAGCATTCCTACTTCTTCCCAGTCGCATTGGGAAGTGAGCTCTCCTGCTCTTAGCATCAGAGGGTCTAACACAAGCAAAGGCACTGAAAGAACTTGGGGTAAAGTACAAACCACAAGTATTTTGGTTTGGACTAGTGTAAAGTGTGTCTTACGGAATGGCCAACAAGGCTCAAGGAGGTGGATACAGGTGGGAAGGCCTTCCATGTAGGACTGGGGCTGCGGAAGTGCCAGTGAAGGGTTTTAAACACAGGAGGGTGTCACCATATGGTCAGATTTATGTTTTAAACCTGGCATCTATGCAGAGGAAGAGTGGAGGGCTGAAAGCTTGTAGGCAAAAAGACCATTCAGGAAGCAAGTGCAAGAATGAGGACTTTACCAAGGCAGTTATCAGGGATGACTATTTTTCATTCCTCACTATATAATTTTTAATATTCTTCAAGGGCCCACAGTTTGATCCACAAGGTTAAGAACTATATGGGGCAGGAGAGGCCAATTATTACATCCTAAAACAAAGCTGCTGCTTTAGAACCAGAATTTAGGACTAAACAATTTGCCCTGTCTGCTGTAGATATAAGCATCACATACCTCTTTTGGTTTTTATTTCCTGAAAGTTCTCGAAGGTTAGCAGTGAAGAAGTCAAACAATAAAAGCACATAATTCAATTCACCAGATATTAGAATACCTGCTTATACAAAGCTAACACATATATTACATTGGATATTGCTTAAGCCTATGAATATGTAATAGAATATGTTTTGAAAAAACTGCTTTATGCTGTTCTACAGCAAATTATTTTAAAGGTATCTGACGGTATTTCTCAGTTGATCCTGCTACAGGTTCGTATAGCAAGTTCCCACTTCTAGAAGTGACTGTGAACCCAGTAAAGGTAGAGATTTGCTCAACATCAGATCACCAGCCCCTAGCCCAGGGTAGGCACTCAAAGCATATTAACTGAATGAATACAAGTTGTCATCTGGTTTCTGGTTGGTTATCTGTCAAAGAGATTCTGGCATCACATGGAAGGATGGACTAAAAGCCTTCTATTATCCTCTCCACCACCAAAATCCTGTGATCTAGAAGGTGGGAATATATTTCATGACAGAGCAGCAATAATCAAGGATGAGAACCACATGCCTATATGACTCTTTGGCCAAAGCTTTCCCCCTCGCTAATAGAGTTGACAGAGCATCCTTGGCCTTAAGTAGACCAGATGTTCTCTTTTATACACGAGAAGGGTTGAGAAACAGGCCCACATATATGGTTATCAACTAATTTTTGACAAAACTGTCAAGGTTATTCATTAGATAAAGCATAGTCTTTCATCAAATGATGCTGAAACTACTGAATATTATGTGCAAAAAAAAAATCTTGATCTTTACTTAATGCCATACACAATAGTTAATCCAAACTGGATCATAAGGCCATAATGCAGGAGTAAATTAAAGTAAGTATAAAGCGCCTATAAGAAAACAACAGAGAAGTTCGTTGTGCCTTTGGGTTAGGCAAAGATTTCTTAGGACAAAAAGTCTGAACCATAACAGAAAACACTGATAAATCAAAATTTTAAATTTTGCTCTTCAAGACACCGTTAAGAAAGTGAAAAGGCAAATCAAAGACTAGAACATATTTGGCAAACATATATCTGAAGAACTTATATCTAAAATATATAAAGAACTCTTAGAACTCAATGAGAAGACAAACAAAATTTGAACAGATAAATGATTTGAATAGACACCACACCAGTGAAGATACAGGCATGACAAGTAACTACATGGAAAGATGTTCAAAACATTAGTTATTAGGAAAATGTAAATTTAAGCCACAATGAGATACCACTACACACTATCTAGAATGACAAAACTGAGTTGGCAGCATGTGGAGAAAATAGAATCTTCAAATGTTACTGATGAGAATGTAAAATGGTAGAGTCGTTTTAGAAAGAGTTTGACAGCTTCTTTAAAAATAAACATATAGGGGGGCCGGCCGAGTGGCTCAGTTGGTTAAGAGCTTGCTCAAGAGTTTGCGCTCTGAGCAACAGCGGTTCGAGTCCTGGCCCGAGCTGAGCAGCCACTGAGCTGCCAACGGGTAGCAGGATGGCTCAGCTAAAAAATAAAATAAAATAAAAAATAAAAATAAAAATAAACATATATTTACGATATGTCCCAATAATTCCACTCCTAGAGAAATGAAAATGCATGTCCACACAAAGACTTATACACAAATGTGCACATTATTCATAATAGCCAGAAACTGGAAACAATCCAAATGCCCACCAGTTGGTGAATAAACAAAATGTGGTATGTCCATATAACTGAATACCACTCAGCAATAAAAAGGAATTAATTATTGATAACATGCAACAATATGGAATAATCTGAAACACATCATGCTAAGGCAGACACAAAAAGTCCATATTATATAATTTTATTTATATCAAGTTTCTAGAAAAGGGAAAACAATAGCAACAAAAAGCAGGTTAGTGGTTGACTGGGGTTGAGGGTAGGAGGAGGGATTGACTACAAAGTGATACTAGGGAACTTTCTAGGAGGATAGAAGTGCGGCTATAAATGTACTGTTATAAACCAAACTGTGCAGCTAAAATGGGTGAATCATGGCATATAAATCATACATCAATAAAGTTGTTAAAAAAAAAAACCCAACAAGGTACTTTGAATAACCCTTACAGCACTACGACCCACAGCGGCTTGTGCACACGAATTTTATGCTCTCATGTTTTAGTGAGCTTACTTGTTATTCCTTCTCTGAAGGTGCTCAGGTCCTTAAGAATGGGATTCTGCTCTCCCTTAATAGAGCACATCCTACACTTTTCCTTGTTTAAAGTTGAGAGATGTTCACTTTGACCCTAGTTTAAATGAGCAAGTTTTCAGTCTAAATTCAACACTATGTTTTAGGCAAAACTGAAATATTTTTTGTTGTTTTGTTTTATTTATATTAGGTTTTCAACCAGATGAAGAAATGAGTGAAATCTTCAAGACCGAATTTCAAATGCGATTGCTATGGGGCAGCAAAGGTGCACAAGTCAATCAGACAGAGCGATATGAGAAATTCAACCAGATTTTAACTGCCCTCTCACGTAAATTGGAGCCTCCTCCTGTAAAGCAGGCAGAGCTTTGATAACTTGCCATAAAACTTAGGATGCTCTTTCAAGGTTCTCCAGGTTCTTCTTTGGGAAAGCTTATCATGTGATAAAGTAATAATGTGCAAACCTGACAATATACAAGGTTTTAGTATCCACAGGATATTAAACATGTAAATTGTACAGAGCACACTTATTTATGAATTGTTTAAAATTACTACTGATTTTTAAGTGAATAATTTATTATTAAGGTAACTATTGCTAATGTTGATCAGCAAATTTAAGAGAAGACCTAGCTATGTTGACTGGTTGTTTTCTATTACTGAGGTATTTACCATTTTAGTTTTAATTCCATGCCAGAAAGTGTAAATAGAAAAGTTTAAAAGCATGAAACATTTCAAAAGGTATCAGTTGTATGATATTCTTCAAATAAATATGAAAAATGTAAATAGTCATATGAAAATATATCTTTTTGTGAAACAATTGTATCCGGTCTCTTTAATATTAAGCCATCACAGTACAATAATTCTACTTCTTCCATCCTGGGGCACCCTCTTTCCTAGCCTCTATATCCTGATAGTACACAAAAATTAATGAAAGTGGTATAGAAAATGTAAGGTTTCTGGCTTAGGAGACTAAGTGAGAAGTGATACAAAATAGAGCTGGCTCCTGAAGACCTACGTTCAAATCAAGCTGTGGTCTGCTAAGCAGCTGGACTTCAGACAAGTTCATCTCATCAAGTCCCAAGTGCTGCATAGCACCTGGTACAAAGGGAGTACCCAGATGTTAGTATCGTTTGTGACATCAATTCACATTTCCAAATAATTGACTGCCTGCTATTTTTCCTCTAGCTGATAAGTGTGAGGTTTTAGTATTCCCCCAGATTAAAGTAAACCAAAAATAAATATATGAATACACACACACACACACACACATACACACACAATCAATCAAACACAAACAGAAGCAACGTCTTCAAATAAAATGCTAGAAAAAAAAGATTTAGAACCCCAGTGCCTTTAGATACTAGAATTATATTTTGAATGCAAAGCGAACATATACAGATGTGTACAACGAAAAATGAACACAAACAGAAAATGAGTACTTAAAAATAGATTTTAAGAGAAAATAAGTAGATCCTTTAGAAATGTGTAATAATTAAACTAAAAACTCAATGGATGCTAACAAACAGAAGATTAGATCCAAGTGAAGCTTTAATGAACTAGAAGACATATCTGAAGACAATGCCCAGGACACAGTAGAAACAAGGAGAAGAAAAACAGAAGAAAGTGATTAAGACTTAAAAAATTGAAATAGAATGACTCAATGCATCTCATCAGAGCTGCTGAAGTAAAGAAAGTGGGGTGGGGAGGAAGCAATTCATCCAGAAGAAAGGTCTGAGATTTAGGACTAGTGAGCAGAGAAACTGGCAAGCTAATAGGTGTCTTGAAACAAACACTAAAATTAATAGTGTCTACTATGTGAGGTTAAAAAGGCAATTAAAACAATAGCACAGACCAGGAGTGGGGCAATCAGTTATTAGAGTTCTGATTAACTGTTATCCTAAATCAGTAGAAGGATTAAGATATTGATTAGCTTTAAGTTTTAAGTGAATATGTAAAATGTCGTTGGTGAATACTACAAGAACAGAAATTAGAGTCCATGTTTTAAACTAGTAGAGGAAAAAATGAAGAAAAAAAATATAAAGAGACAGAAAAGGGAGATGGCTAGCAAGCACATAGATGGCAGAAATTAATCCAGACTTATCAATAACCATTAAAAATGCAGAGGCTGAATCTGGGGCTGGCTGAGTGGCTCAGTTGGTTGCGAGTTGGCTTGGGAGAGAGGGCTCTGAGTGGTGGAGCTGCTGGTTCGGTTCCCATATGGGCCAGTGACGCTGTGCCTCTAGCTAAGATGGTGAACAACAGCTCGACCTGGAGCTGGGCTGCCGTGAGTCGCTGGCAATGGCGTAGGCTGCAGTGGGCTGCCATAAGCTACCGTGAGTGGCCGGCAGCCAGCGTGAGTGGCCAGCAGCCTGCATGAGCTGCCGAGAGCCACTGTGAGAGGCTGTCCAATGGCCAGCAACAGATCTGCCTCAGCGGGGAAGAGCGGAATGATCACAATACCAACATGGGCCAGTGAAGTGACGTCCTCCACAACTAGACTAAAGAACAACAACAAAAAAAAGGACAGCAACTTGTCTGTTCCCCTTCCCTGATTCCCCAGTGCTGTTCCCTCCCCCAATTCCCCAATAAAATCTTTAAAAAAAAAAGTGATACCTAGAGTATTCCTAACAAAAGATGTACAAGAACATGAAATTTTTAAACTTTATTTTAAAAATCTGTCTAAAAAACACTGAAGAAAAATAAAGTACCATGTTCACAGATTAGATGATTCAGTATCAGAGATATGTTAGTTCTTAAAAAGTGATATATAAACTCAATGCAATCCCAATCCTAATCCAGTGGGATTTTTCAAGCTAACTTGATAAGCTTTTCCTAAATCATACATGGCAAGGATAGTCAAGATCATCCTAGGAAAATAAGATGGGGGAAGGGGAATCTGATCTCCCAGATATAGTTCATTATTAAGCTACGGTAATTAAGACACTGTCATGAGAAGTCTGATATATGACAGAAGTAACATTGCCAATCAATAGGGGAAAGGATGCCGTTTTAAATAATTCTTGAGGGCCGGCCGAGTGGCTCAGCTGGTTAAGAGCTCGCTCAAGAGTTTGAGCTCTGAGCAACAGCAGTTCGATTCCCGGCCCGAGCTGAGCAGCCGCTGAGCTGCCAACAGGTGGCAGGATGGCTCAGCTTAAATAAATAAATAAATAAATAAATAAATAAATAAATAAATAAATAATTCTTGAACAATTGGCTAAGCAAATGAAATGGGGAAAAATGGTTTCTTACCTCATCATACACCAAAATCTATGTGAATTGAGCACCTACATGTGAAAGGCAAAAGCATAACACTTTCAGAAGAAAATACAGAATATCTTTTTTACTTGGAATCAAGGAAGAATTTCTTAAACTAGACAGAAAAAGCATTAAATATGAAAGATTGGTCAATCTACATTAAAATGAACTTATATTCATTAAACAATTATCATAGACAAATTGAAAGAACTGAGAGATGCACATAAAGCTGAAAAGAGATTAGTATGGTAGGCAGCCTCCAAGATGGGCCCGGATGTTCCCTGCCACCTTTGTGTTCTCCCACGTTGTACCAAGGATGGTTCACATCACCAAGTGCATAAAGCAGAAGTAATGGTATGTCACACCTGAGATTAGGTTATAAAAAGACTATAGCTTCCATCTTGAGTTTTTACCCTTTTGGATCACTCACTGGAGGAAGCAAGACGCCACGTGTGGGCATTCCCATTACAACAAACTGAGGCCTGCCAACAATCACATGAATGATCTTGGAAGGGACTGCACAGCCCCAGTCGACTTGAGGTGACTGCAACCTTGGCCAACATCTTGACTACAACCTCCTGAGAAACTCGGAGCCTGAGTCACCAGCTATGTTACATAGCAAGAGATAATACAATTAGCATCCTCAATACATAAAGAGCTCCCATGAATGAATATGGAAAGACAACCAACCAAAGAAAAACATGGGCAAAAGCTATAAAGAGGCTTTTCAAAGAAGGGGAAACATAAATGGTACATATGAAAAGATGTTCAACTTCATCAATAATCAGGGAAAAGCAAATTAAGACCACAGCGAAATGCTATTTTACATCCATTGAATTGACAAAACCTGAAAGGTCTGACTCCTAAGTGTTGGCTAAGATATGGAGCATAAGTAACCCTTATCCACAACTTTTAGGTGTGTAAAAATGTTACAATCACTTTGAGGGGAAAATGTCATACTACTTTTTTAAACTGAAGATAAATATAACCCGCAACCTAGCAATTCCACTCCAGGTATAGATCTTAAGAGAAATGCTTGTATCTGTAAACACACACATGGATGCGAGGCAGCACTGTTTATACAGTTGAGCCTTGAACAACATGGAGTTAAGAGCGTCAACCCCCTCCCCACCACAGTAAAAAACTTGAGTATAACTTTTGACTCCCCACATACTTAACTACAAATAACCTCCTGTTGACCAGAAGCCTTACCAATAACATAGTCAATTAACACATATTTTGTATGTTATATGTATTATATGCTGTATTACAATAAAATAAGCTAGAGAAAAAATGTTATAATGAAAATCATAAAATACATTTACAGTACTGTACTGTATTTATTGATAATGGTTAAGTTTAAGTCATCTGTTTACAAGGTGAATCTGTCAGTGCCTACACCAATAGTCTTATGATACAAAACACTGTAGATGTTATACATATTACTAATTCTAGACATGAAAAATAATTATATGAAAATTCATATTTTAGATAAAATGATTCATGCATTAATAAAGCAGCGGCAATATGATTGCTTTATGGTAGCCTAGTGTAACCAATGCTATTGCTTCATGGTAGCCTAGCCTATACACTAATGAAGGAATCGTTATAAAATTTTTATGGGGGCCGGCTAAGGGGCTCAGTTGGTTAGAGAGCGAGCTCTGAGCAACAGGGTCGCAGGTTCAATTCCCACATGGGCCAGTGAGCTGTACCCAATTGGAGCTGCCGCTGAGCTGGTGAGAGCTTGTGCTTTGAACAACAAGGTTGCCAGTTCAACTCCAGATCAGGATGGTGGGCTGCGCACACCCCCCCCCAACTAAGATGGAATACGGTACCTTGGGCTGAGCAGCCGCGAACTGTGCAACAAGGTTGCCAGTTTGACTCTCCCTGCCTGCCCCCACAATTAGATTGAAAGCAGCGACTGAACTTGGGAGCTGGGCTTGCGCCTCCACAACTAAGATTGAAGGACAACTTGACTTGGAGCTGATGGGTCCTGGAAAAACACAATGTTCCCTTCCCCAATTCCCCAATAAAATCTTAAAAACAAATTTTTTTTTTTTTAAGATTTTATTGGGGAATTGGGGGAGGGGAACAGTGCTGGGGAATCAGGGGAAGGGGAATAGACAAGTTGCGGTCGTTTTGTTCTTCAGTCTAGTTGTGGAGGACGTTGCTTCACTGGCCCAAGTTGGCACCATCATTGCGCTCTTCCCAGGCGAGGCAGATCAGTCGCCGGCCTCTGGACGGCCGCTCACGGCGGCTGCTGGCCGCTCATGCTGGCTGCCGGCTACACATGGTAGCTTATGGCAACCCACTGCCACAGGGGCTGCAGCCCGCGCCGTCGCCGGCGACTCACGGCAGCCCAGCTCCAGGTTGAGCTGTTGTTCAGCATCTTAGCTGTGGAGGGCAGTGTCACTGGCCCTCATATGTGGGATCCGAACCCGGGCCCTCTGGCGTCTCAAGCCAGCTCCTAACCAACGCGCCACTCGGCCGGCCCAAAACAAATTTTTTTTAAAGGTATACAATATTACAGTCATTCATTATATGGTATTGGAAACATTGTTACT